GAGTATTTGCAGGAACCAAGGAAAATAATCTAATATATACCAATAAAAAAATAATAATTATTGTAATAAGAAAAAGAAAAAATGTTAACAACTGTCACTTCCATATGCAAACTAACTAAAAGGTGGAAAATTTACCCAAAAAGAAGAAATATCTAGGATGCGTAGCAACTTCTCTGCTTTTTCGTACTACATTGCTGCTGACTCCATTATTTCTGATTGTCCTTTTCCACTATTATTATTATATTGTTATTTTCTAACCTTCATAGAATAAAATTACGTAATTAACTATTGTGAATCACTTTTTACCAGAGAAATTTTTGACTAGTCGGTCAAAACTGTACCGCAGACATTACAATCTCTTCAATAGAGACTTCTACAAGAAACAGATCGTTAAGAAGAGGTCCACGGGTAGAAAAAATAAAAATAATGGTTGTAAACGTAAAGTTTTTTAAGTAAACTCACCTGAAACACCTTTAAATATAGGTAATGTGAAAAGAAGGAAAAAGCTCAAGTTAATCAATGTTATAAACTTATACCAAACATTCTCTTAAAATACTCGACTGCAGTTTCTTTTATGATACAAAGTTATTAGCAAATAAATATTGAAAAGCGAATGATTCGAATAAGATGTGTTGCGAAAAAATTCGGAGGCAGCCGTATCCTATTTATATGTTTCAAATTCAATAAACACGTAAAAAGTGTTATCACAAGTAAATTTTCACCCCTATTAAACCTTTTAATTCCATCAAAAAAGCTATATGTTGAGCGTATATCGTCCCACCTCCCGGACCAATATTTTAGGAAAACCAAAGTCTCCAAAAACAATTATGATTAACAATTATAATCCCAATATATATCTAGACGAACAAGACCTATCATTATCGGTATAATGAATAATCTCAAAAAAAAAAACTTAAAATAATTTCGACTATATACCATAATTATTTTAAAGAAACCGAAATAGTTTCCGACTACAAAAATGTTTTAAAAAGTTTTTCTTCCATGTAAAAAAAATAAGTTGATTTTTTTTTCCTTTTTCAAAAGTGAACTTATTTGTAATAAGTTAGTTACTCTTTCCATTTTAAAAATTCATTTCTTTTGTTCTGCTAATTTTAATAATAAATGAAAAGTATAACAAATATATTGAAGGCCAGCCAATTATGAACATGTTCGAAACAAAATTTGGACACCTCGCAAGCATGATATATTAGTTTTTTTATGCATATATATAATGTGCGTAATATATATATGATATATGTGTGAGTACGCATATATATTACAATACCAATAATTCTCATTAATTCACGTATATGTATATAATTAATGTGTTGACAATTATGTATTTTAAACAGTCTAATTTTTAAAAGAAAAATTGTTTATTTATACATTTTGCAAACAACAGCAACTACAACAACAAAAAAAATAATTAGTTTTCATAAACTCCCGGAGTATCTTTAACTTGTTCTTCGCGAAGATTTTCATAAAATAATCATGTAGCATAATTTACATGGTTCTTAGATATATTTATTTTCAAAGGGGATTTTTCCACTTGAAATTTCCCAAAATAATATACCAAGTCTATAAATATCTGCTTTTTTTTGTTCTTCTATAAAACATTGTTTTTCTGAATTTTTTAAATATTGAGGATCCAAATATTGCATCGAGTTGAAATAATGTGAGAAATGTTGTCGATTTGAGCAAATTAATCGTTTAAATGATCCAAAACTATGTAATCTAATATTACCATTAAGGATATTTATATTTTTAGATGTCTGTTATCATATAAAGAAGAGATTAATTATTTCGTAAAAATTTTAAAAAAATAAAAAGACAATGATAAATACCAGGCCACCATGAACGATATTATTAACGTGTAAACAATATAATACAGATGTTAATTCTTTAGCAAATTTTAATTTTTGCGTTCACAACAAATCATCAGTACTTAGATATTCGTGCAAATTGTCTTTAGTATAATCAAGAATTAACGATTAAAAATTTATAATATTTTCATGATTTTGAATCCTTTGATGATCTTGTATATAACTAAAATAAAATAAAATAAAAAAAAACTCTTTTTAACAAATTCTTTGATTGTGTGTATAAATCATTTAATTTTAAATTCAATAAAGAAAATAATCTTTGTACTTTATTTGAATAAACTTTTTTTAATATGATATCAGGTGAGTTTTTGATTATTTTTTCTTTTGTGAATGTTTCGTAATTATTTTCAAATACAAGAGATTCATTCTTTTAGCTTTATTCAACCATCCTAATGCTTGGTTTTCAGTTTCTATTATAAAATTTATATTTATAAGATTATTAATTATGGTAAAGGTTTTAGTGTATTTA